GATTTATTCTGTAAGTGAGCTGTATGTTTGCATTGTATCCGTATGTGTATGGATTTAAACATAATTGTTTTGAGCTTGAAGAAGTATTATATGCAGATAGAATGTAAGAATTATGTAAAGAAATTTCCATGCAATACAAAGTATCATAAATAAGTGAAAATGATGATACAAAAGCATGCGATTTGGTGAAAGCGAGAAAAATATATTGATGGTTATGTGTGCAGTGAACCCTAATGTGGATATGATGGATTTTTATGATGCCCATGTAGGTTGACGTATGGGGACGACTGATATTTATGGCACTAACCTAGGTTAAGGGGTGAGGATGATCGATGGTTTGTTATGAATTATTTTCGAGTACCTACATGTTGCAAGGATCCCTATGGATCACTAATGACACTGGTGTGAAAGGTATTACGTGATGAAATATAAGGATGAATAACTTTAATTATTAAGCAAAAGAACGTGACTGACTTGATAGGTGTGTTGTACCTAGATATGGATATTATGATTCGCTAGTATCTACTACTAAGGATGAAATTTGTTCTGATTATGAATATGATGTGTTCGATGGTATTTATGAATTGAATGAGTTTGGTTGAACTTGAATTTGATTTATTTTGATGGTATGTGTGATTTATAGTGAAATAGAGATGAAAAGGATATTATGTAAATTCTAAGTTAGGAGTTGGGATTTGAGGGAAATTTGACATGAGGTCCAGATTTAAATCGATTTTCAAGTTTAAAACAGATTATATTGAAATAAATTATCCATCAATTATTTTCTCGTTTCTTACAACATTTTGGGCGAACTATTACGTTGTTGGTTCCTGTGTTCTTATTGAGTTAGTTGGCTCACCTAATTTGCTATTAATCTTTTCATATCAAAATGATCAGGATTCCAATCCCGAGCAATAAGAGACTTGTTGGAAGATCGTTTCATTTCATTTTACCTTACGTCAAAATAGTACTTAAGGTTATCTATTTTTCTTTATAAAAGTATTTATTTTTAGATTTTACATATGCCTTAAGGATATTGGATACTTCTAAATAAGTATGCAGGGAATATAATTTGATTTCAAATCTTTAAGGATTTATTATGCAAGATATTTCTATGAATTATTTACCGTTATATTCTAGTATACGATCAAGACTTCATATGTGAGTTTGGGTTATTATATCACTTATGTTACATCGAGACCATTCTTCAATCAAGATTTGCACGTCGCAATGTTGACTAAAAAAATTAATAGAGTTTTACTTGAGAAATGCCTCTTTAAGTTAAATCTTGGTGTCACCATTTTAAGTAGAGCCAAAAAAAGAAATTTGAATGAAGAAATGCCTTTAGAAAGAAGCCTTTCTACATAAGTTTAAAAGAGAAAAAAAAAACAAATTTTATAGAGCTTGAAGAAGGATATCAATGGAAGAACTCCCTTAGACGGATCTTGACGTTGGGTAGAGGAAGAAGCTCTTAATGGGCGTTAGCTATGCTTTTTTTTCTTTTTCTCTTAATCATCATTTATGTTTCTTTCCATTTTATGTTCGTTATGAATTAATTAAGCATTTGTTGAGAATTAATTTATCTAAACCTTCTATAAGGTGTAATATTAAGGATTTTATGTTTTTGAACTATGTTTGCATGTGGATTGCTTCTTTAGTGTTCTTAATGCTTTCTTTGATTTATTCTCTTTAGCTATAATGATGATCAACCAAGAGAGAAGTTATGTACAAAGAAATTGTATAAATTGGATTACAACTTTCCTTTTCTTTTTATCATGTCACATTCTATCATCATATCTTAAAACTTTTCAAATTAACAAAAATTTATTATATTTGAATAATAATTTTATGAACTTTTTTGTGTACTATGTATATAAGTTTATGGTCTTAAGAATTATAGTAAAAGATCTCTTTTGTTTTTCTAAATATCACATTTATATATACACATAATAGTCTCATGTCTAAATTCCATCTAAATGTGAAATTCATTTATTTTTCTTGTTAGAACTTAGTATAATTGCATCATCATTATTCAAGTAAATATAAATGTAATATAATTAATCTTTTGTTCATTTGAATATTGAATTGAAGAATTGCTGGTACTCAAATGGTGCGCACTTATAAAGAATTGCATCATCGTATTCGTTGACAAGAGGATAATGAAATGTAAGAATTTTTTTCTCAAAGAAATACTCAAGCTATTTATTTGCTTTCTCATGTTCACCAACTTTTCAATATACAAGAGTGAGTATTAATAGAATGCAATATCTGCATATGTTTTTCGATAATGGAAAATAACATGTAGTCAACATAGAAAATATTGTTTTTTTAAAAAAAAAACACTTCCTATTTTCATGGTTTTTGTAAATATAACATATTTTATGGAAGGGATTGATCTATATTGAAGAACTTAAAATTAAAATGAGTTTCCCTCACTTCTAAACACTATATGTATACCCAAATATCATAACATACTCATATCTAACATTTCCATTTAAGCACGAGTTTAGATTCATAATATGTACAAAGGGTTAATCAAATTAGATGTATATTTTTGTATCAACATTAGATATCTTTTGTTTCTTTATTCATCTTGGTTATGTTAATCAAATTAAACTTACATTTTTCTACTAACATATGATGTCATTTGTTTCTTTGTGCATTTAGGTGTTTGAACGCATTGGGAAAATTGAAGGATGAATTCGATATTGTTCAACAAAACATGGCTACCATTATTGAGAGAATTTTCAATTAATATTTTTTTAGCTTTAAACATGATTTACAATTATTATTTTCTATAACAAAGGAGATATACACTAACACAAACACTCATAGTCACAATCTTATCATGACTAAAATATTTTATTTTAGTTCTAATCAAAATTTTCATATTATCAAATTGTAGGCACAAAGAAATATCCTGGATAGACCCAGACCAAATCACCTTAGAGATATTTAATGGTTGAATTTTATTCCAAGGAAAATATGATTGTACTATTCAAGAAAGTAATAATTGGTTCTCTCGGGTGTCGGACATCTGTGCAATTTCTATTTTCTTATGAGCCAGTGTTTTTGAATATGGGAGAAAGCTTGATTAATTTGCTTTATATTGTTAAAATGGCTACGATTATCAAGGCAATTTTCAATTAATATTTTTTTAACTTTAAACATGATTTACAATTATTATTTTCTATAACAAAGAAGATATACACTAGCACAAACACTCATAGTCACAATCTTATCATGACTAATATATTTGATTTTAGTTCTAATCAAAATTTTCATATTATCGAATTGTAGGCATAAAGAAATATCCTGGATAGACCCAGACCAAATCACTTTAGAGATATTTAGTGGTTGAATTTTATTCCATGGAAAATATAGTTGTACTATTCAAGAAAGCAATAATTTGTTCTCTCGGGTGTCGAACATCTGTGCAATTTATATTTTCTTAGGAGACAGTGTTTTTGAATATGGGATAAAGCTTGATTAATTTGCTTTATATTGTTAACATGTCTAGTTAATAGTTGATGTTTACTTGGTTTGATCATCAATAATTGGTGGGCCATGAGCAAACCTTGATTTAATCTAGTACCTTGGGTCTAACATTCTT